GAAAACACTAGATTACAAGGTAGCGGAAATGCCACCTACCACAGCATGTGACATAAGCAAAGGCATGTAGCACCGAGGAGGAAAAGCTATTCAGCCGGTAACTTTTCATTGTTTTTTCCCCATCTCTTGCAAGCCCAACTTGCAACATCATGATCTGTGATGTGACACTCCAGAAATGGCAAAGGATCACCCATTCTTTGGATAATGAAAACATCCATCGTTACATTAGATAGGATCGAATTATTTTATAAGGTATATAAACCCTCATGCTTCAGGTCATCAGCTAATCACTAGCAGGGGCTAGAGAGGAACTTTTCCGTATGCAAATTATTCCATAATTGTCCATTATGGGATTTCTTGCTGCTTCCACTGACATATACTTAGAAATATTGAAATATTGGCCAACATGGATACACATATATTCAGATTTTTTACAATTTTTTACAATTTTAATTAACTGACAGTTAGCTCAAGGTAGTTACCACATTTGGACTATGCCTGGACCAAACATTTGGGAATGTCCATGTTAGCTTTTACAAACATATTAAGTGAAAATCACTAATGAAGACAAGCCCTTTTGGAGATGAGTATCTGGGCTCAGATGGACAATGGATCTGATTGGGTAGTGCAACTCCTATGTTTCTCAGATGTTTTTTTATGGCATGAAATGAAAGTAAGAAATTGAATTGAACTCTTATTTGCTCTTCCAAATGTAAAGGCAATATAACTCCCCATTTTTATTTTGTCTGGTGCATGTTGGTGGTTTTCTTCTCTTCTCTTGGGGTAGGTGAATTGGACAGAAGAGAGTGATTATTACAATATCTGTGTAATAAACAGAACGCTTGGATACTGTATGCATATGTGTTATACATAAAGACCAGTAAAACAAAACAGACCATGGAGTTGGGGATTGTGTTTTACTTTTTATTTTTTAATTAATCTCTAGTCCTGGTGAGACAATGCCCTCAACCTAGGGAGGGAGCAACTCATAGCACTTTGCAACAATCTCTCTGGTGGATTCAAGAGCAGGCTTGATGGTTTCTGGAGGGAGCGAGGGCCACTCCTCCCAGTCTGGAAGAATAGTCATCACATTCTGAAGAAAAGCTAGAAAGACCCCTTTTGGGGAGGAATAAAGAGAAAAATTACAACCACAAAGCAACATTGACAGGTATCAACCCCCTCAAGTGCCCCTAGTTTTATCTGCATTCCACCTATTCAGCAGCACTTCATTTTGCCTCCTCATCCTACCTCTAAACTGGAGGGTACTACCAGCTCATCATTCTCAGAAGTATTTACATTCCTACTCCACAGAAGTTGTATGGGTAGGAAGTACATCACAGAGTCAGAGTAATCAGTTGTGATATTGTTCCTGGAAATATTTCCTAGAGTAGCATAAAAATGTAGCAGTCCCCACATGTATTGTGTCCATGGGGCAAGATAGAGCGTAACTATTGTTCCACAAAAAGCAACAGAGTCCTGTGGCACCTTATAGACTAACAGACGTATTGGAGCATACACTTTCGTGGGTGAATACCCACTTCGTCTGACACATGTAGTCTGACAAATTAGGTATTCACCCACAAAAGCTTATGCTCCAATACATCTGTTAGTCTGAAAGGTGCCACAGGACTCTTTGTTGCTTTTTACAGATCCAGACTAACATGGCTACCCCTCTGATATTGTTCCACAGACATCCCTGTCCTGGTTCTCCATTTAATAGAGTTGTTGTCTATCAGCTTAATGCTTTGGTTACACTGACATCTAGTGGATCGTCAAAATACACACACACACACAAAATTTCAATTATGTTTCCAAAATCTCACATTTACCCAACAGACCAAAACTGCTCCTTCAAGGATGCACTGATCTCTCATATAAATACTTATTTAGTGGGACAGTTAAAAGTGATAGATCTGAGTTTTCATGTATCAATTGTGATTGGCTCTTCTTCTTCTTCTTCTTTATATATTACACAAGTACCTGGAACAGGGGCAGGCAAACTTTTTGGCCTGAGGGCTACATCAGAAATGGTATGGAGGGCTGCTTAGGGGAGGTGTGCCTCCCCAGACAGCCAGGCGTGGCCCAACCCCTATCCGATCCCCCCTGCTTCTCGCCCCCGATGGCCTCCCTGGGACTCCTGCCCCATCCACCCCCATTCCCTGTCTCGACACCCCCCTCAGAACCCCTGCCCCATCCACCCCTCCCTGTCCCCCCACCCCTGAATGCCCCCGACACCCCATCCAACCCCCCCCTCCCTCCTTCCTGACTGCCCTCCCGGGACCCCTGCCCCATCCAACCACCCCTTCTCCCTGACCGCCCCCGGAACTCCCTGCCTCTGACTGCCCCCCCACCGTCCCATCCAACCCCCCCTCTCCTTCCTGACTGTCCCCCGGAACCCCTGCCCCCACCGGTGGCTGGCGGTGCTTCAGCCGCGCCGCCCAGAGCACCAGGACATGCAGTCGTGCCGCCTGGCTGGAGCCAGCCACACCACCGCGCAGCACAGAGCACCGGGTCAGGCCACAGCTCTGCAGCCCCGCCACCCAGAGCATTGCGCCAGTGGCACAGTGAGCTGAGGCTGCGGGGCAGGGGGAACAGCAGGGGAGGGACTGGGGGCTAGCCTCAGGCCAGGAGCTCAGGGGCCGGGCAGGAGGGGCCCGCGGGCCGTAGTTTGCCCACTTCTGACCTAGAGGAACCAACTACAACTGGGGCTTCATTGCTTTGGCTGCTTTTCACACATAGTGTGAATAACAATCTTGCCCTAAAGAGCTCACAGCCTATGTAATGTAGTGAGTCACTTCACCCCCAACACATCTGTAACTTGGCTGCTTATGCTTCCTGACTGCAAGAGGAGAGGTTGTTAACAGTGGGCCTGATCCACTGACTTCAATGAGCTTTGGTTCAGGCTCATGTTGGCAGTGCTGTACGTTCCAAAGGAAATGTGGGGTGGGACCATGACTACCCACCAGTACTGCCACACAACAGTTAGCACTGGTTAGCTACAAGGGCAGCACGGGGCAGGGGCGGCTCTATGTTTTTTGCTGCCCCAAGCACGGCAGGCAGGCTGCCTTCAGCAGCATGCCTGCGGGTGGTCTGCAGGTCATGTGGATTCGGCTGCGTTTCTGCAGGTGATCTGCCGGTCCCGCACCTTCGGCATGCCTGTGCCGAATTGCTGCCGAATTGCGCTGGTGTCCAGAGCTGGTGCCCGGAGCTGGTGCCTGGAGCCGCCCCTGGCATGGGGTGGAGTGAAAGTTACACGTTTTGTATAGTAGACACTGCTACTAAACATGGTCAACAATTCGTTTCATCAGTAGCTCTCAATGTACTTTACAAGGGAAGTCAGTATCAGTATCCCCATTTTACAGATTGGGAAACTGAGGAACAGAGTGATGACGTGATTTTCCCCAGCAGACCAGTGGCAGAACCAGGAATAGAACGCAGGTCTCCTGAGGCCCCAGTCCAATGCTCTAACCACTAGAACACACACCAAGCATTATGCACAGAACCTTACACCTCAATGAACATCCTTTAGTGCACTACGGGCACTTGACCCCTCATGCACACATGTTTATCAGTGCTCCACTGGCTTTCAAACCCAAAATGTAGCCCTTAAAGTAACATTTTCAGTCTGCAACTATGACACTAGGGTTG